CCGTTGACTTTGTCTCAGGTGAGTGTCCGCGTGTCTCATCCCCCCAAAATATGCCCTCAGCTCCACAGCTGCAGGAATGGGAGCGGGACCCTTCGCTTTGCACCGGAGTGGGGCATTGCCAGCTCCTCGCTGGCTGCACCCCTGGGGTTCCCCCTATGGCTCCTCTTGCAAACGGGACCCCTTGAGCGTACCCCGAGGTGAGCACCGCAGGGCTGCCTGGGAGAGGTTAGCACCAAACAGTACCTTGGCAGAGTCCCGGGCCGCAGCCCCTGCACCTCGCAGAGCAACACCCCCGGCTGTGCCCACCCCGCTGCACCCACCCGCTCCCCCCGCGCCATCGGGAGCGGAGGCACCCACGGGGCTCCGAGAGCAACAGGCAGCAAATTCGAGCAGCTCTGGGCTTGTCACTGAGCAACAACATTTAATTTCCAAGTTAATACCCTTCCCTGTTCCTCGAGAATCCCAAACCTTCCCATTTCTTATTCCAAGCACGGCACCGCTGCTCCATTTGCAGCAAGGCTTCGGACACAGCTGTGCTACCCTCGTGCCAGGGGCCGAGGGCATCAACACTGCTCACCCACCCAACGCTGGCGTCTCCCAGACCCATGCCAGGGTGATGCCAAGAGCCCACACCAGGAACACGGTGCCCCAGGGCAGGACCACTGCAAGTCCCAGGGGAACAACATCAGGGCATGGAAGCACCAGCTCAAAATGTGACTTATTTGGAGAGGCTGGAGGGCATCTCCTGGGGCTCAGAAATTGGAAAGTTGTTCCCTGCCACGCACATATTTGTTCGTATTTGCACTTTGTAAGGAAATTCTGGAGCTGGAGAGTAAAGCCAGAGCCCAGCAGAAGACGACGGTCAGGATTTCCCCCTGGCAGCTCTGCCTACCAACCACGGGGGCTGCGCTTGGGAAAGAACAGACTCGGACAGACGGTGCTCAGGGGGAAGCGGGAAAGCCAAGACAGACGGACCTTTACTCGACAGCAGCAGCAGCAGTAACAGCCTGCGGGAGGAGGAGAGGGGCCAACACTCACTGGCCCCAAAAGTGCACACAGCTGGGGAAGAAGAGATGCTTGTCACAACTCGGTGAGATAAATCAGGAGTTGATGCCGTAGCCCTTAGTGAGGTGGGACATGTCATGGCTGCAAGAAAAATCAGCCTGGATCGGGGTGAGGGGGGTCCTGCCTGCAGCAGGACCAAGCTGGGAGCGAGGGCAGGACAGACCTACAGACGCACGCTCCTGTCTGCTCCTCTGCTTGTACCTGCTGCCTTGGTGATCTCCAAAACCCTCGCACAGCAAAGCAAGGCTCCAGTCCTGCGACGTGCCAACACCTCCTGCTCACCAGCAGGACCAGTCAGATCCCGGGCTGCCCCCTCCACCCGCAGCAAGGCTGGTGGGACCGAAGGTGGTTGTGAAGAAAATGGGCTTGGGATGCCAGAGCGGCTCTTTTCGCTCCCGTCTGACACGGAAGTCCACTTCCAGCCTGGGTCTGACGGTCAAAACACACTCCAGGTGTCACAGCTGGCATCCTTTGGAGATGAGCAACAGCCTTCTTGTCCTCCCAGGTCCTCCCCGCTCTGTCCCCTTGCCCCGGCCGCAGCACAGGGCTGCCAGGGAGCCTGCCGAAACCCGGACCCGGGAAGCCCACCCGAGCGGCACGGCAGGGGTCTGCGTCGCCTC